CGATACATAATACAATCATTCAAATCATGAGGAAACAAGAGGTACAAAAGGCAGGATCAAAATCAAAAGGTGAACTTTTTATTTGCACCATTAAATTATTATTTTTCATAATCAACAACTTTTAAAAATTTTACTCTTACTCAATATTTTTTAAAATTTAAAACTCATAAAAAACTCAAGTTTAACAATTAAATCTCCTACTTGTATCTTAACTTGCACATGACATAATTATTAACTTTGAATTTTTTACAAATTTTAAATTATGAAAAATGTTAACCGACAATACAAATTCTAAAGGATGTTGATTATAATAGAGAATTTGACCAAATCAAAAAAGAATAAAAGTTTCTTTCATAGATGTAACATGCTTGACTAATGTCTTAGTCACTCCAATTATATCACAAGATCCAAATTTGATGTCAAAAACTAAGGTGGCTTGCCTATCATGTAATAGATGACTTATTCCCTTTAAAGGAATTTGTTTTTCACGTTATTAATTTAAAACGATTTTTTAATAAAGATTAATAAGAAAATAATTTTGCACCAGGGCTACCAGCAAACTTGATTATGGTGCATCCCACCAGGTCTAAGATTTGAGCTCAAAGCCCACCCAGACAAATTGTAATCAGTTAAAAAAAAAAAAAAAGGAAAAAGAAAGTAACTGCTCATTAATTAATTTCAAAATAAGTGCAATTTATGTAAAAAAAAATTAATTAAAGATGCTACAGGCATACTTTTAACCGTAGAGCTCTATTAATTATTTTTTTAATAATTTTAAATAGTATAATAAAGAATGACAATCTCTTATTTTTTTTAACCCACCTCATTAATATATTATTTTTTTGTACATATAATAGCAATTTATGTAAAAAAAAATTAATTAAAGATGCTACAGGCATACTTTTAACCGTAGAGCTCTATTAATTATTTTTTTAATAATTTTAAATAATATAATAAAGAATAACAATCTCTTATTTTTTTTAACCTACCTCAGTAATATATTATTTTTTTCGTACATATAATAATAGATTATATCAAAAAAAATAATTTTTTTTTATTCTCAAATTACTCTCATTCTTAACTGTAAAACTACTTCATTGAAGTTAATATATTATGTTATTCAAACTTATGACTTATTGTTTTACAAAAAGCATATTAAAATTATTTAATTCATTAACCTCCATTAACAATTCAACGTAACATTAAAAGAGTAAAAATATACAATATTATAATTAAATTTTTAAATAAAAGATTCATTCAATTATACTACGTTAGTTGCACGTCATGATTAAATTATTAACTAAATCTTTTATTTGCATTTTAAATTTTTTTTTATATCAACATCTTCTAGAATATTTACTTTTAATTAATATCTTTTATAATTTAAAATTTATAAGAATTTTAAAATTAATAATTAGGTCACAGATAAATTAAGGAACAAATAAGGGTTTAGTCATTAAATTTTAAGATTTTTACACGTTTCAAATTTTGAAAAATATTGATTAAATGTAAAAGTTTTAAAAAATATTAGGAAAATGATTCTGAAACAATATTTTTGTACTACTTTTTATTATAATTTGACATGTTATTTAAATAATTGATTCTTTTTATTTATTTGAGAATCGTGTTATTAAATACATCTATTTATTTAATGATACGTAAAAATTATATAAAAAATAATATAAAAAGATTATCTCTATATCATTACTTAAAATATTAATAATTAAAAATAATAATATATAAGTTACAAACAGAAATTTTAACTTAAATTATTTATAGTTATCGTCAAGAGAAAGATACCCAACATTTGACTCCTACATAACATGGTTTTTATTTATTTACTTATTTTATCTTAATTGTATAATAAAAAATAAATCTCTCTCATTTCTTCTCTTATTTTATTTATATATAATGTAATTTGAATTTAATATTTTTTTATTTTTTAAAAAATTATTATTAAATTATTTAAATTGATGATTTATTTATTTTTCTTTTTAAGAATTCAATTGTCTGGCAATTTGCGGCAAGACGGGAATGGATTGAAAATGGAAAGAAAGAAGAGTTTTTTGCCTTCTACCAAAAATCACGGTCTCTAAATTTCGTAGGAACAGAGAGAAGTTAACGGGTATGGGATGGCTGAGGACTCACCCCGTTGTCTGTCTGTCCCCAGCGAGCCTATAAGGTTGACAATTTTGAGGACTTTGGTGCCCCGTTCAAATGCTTTTTTGAATCACCACACAACAACCGAAGATTCAAATTAATTAAATCTTATAATCTGAACTTCATGATTCGTGGGACGAGGAATGGAGACGGTATCAGATCTATTTGTGCACATACCGTGTGTCAACCAGCATCGATTAGATTTATTGATAAATAAATAAGTTTTGTTTTATAAATGTTAAATTTAAAATTTAAATTTTAAGGTTACTATTTAAAAAAATAGTAATTTAGCTTGTAATCCCATGACTAACTACTTTCCGAAAACCTTCATTTAGTTTTTTCTTATTTTTCCATTCAAAGACATTTGCGCATGCACTCAATACGACTTTTCTTTTCCTTTTTTTGGACTATAGCCGTGGAGCATTGAATAACACTCCTATTAGATATCCAATTCAGGGCCACAAACCACCATTTTGTCAACCTCCCTTTTTT